ACTTCTAATAGAGATACTCTTCTCTCATCAGTTTTCATTTTACTAATTATAATATGTATTTTTTTCATAAAATTTTCAGATTACTGTGTTAAATATTTAAAACAAACCACCAAAGAAATAAAGCTAAAATTAAAGTTCATTGTAGTAACCAATGAAATAACACTAAACTGATAGAATAAACCCCTTTAAAATGTTGTATATTTAAATAATATAAGATTTCTCTTGGGAAAAGCAAAATTTTCTTTCAGTAAGAACTTTCTGGTATAAGAGCTTTTTTTCCTTCCATTTTTGATACTATTTACATATTTTTTACATAGGAAAGCCATGGAAACTTCCCTAACTTCTCATACTGTTTCTGAAAGATTATCCTAGGTTGCCTGTATTTTGCTTAAATAAAATGACATGTACTTTTTCTTTTGGGTTTTGCTTTTTGCTTAAGAGTAAATTTCTTCATTCATTTATTCCTCCTTCTTTTCCAAATTCTTTCTTTTTCTCACTTAACTGCATTAGCTAATATTTTTTAAAAGTTAATTAACAGGGCAATGGTGAGCATCCATTTCTTTTCCTGGCCTTTACTGTTTCACCCTAAGATGAAAAGCAAGAGACAAAGCTTCAGTTAGTATGGTAGATAAACACAAAGAGGGAGACCCATTCAGGGAATGTTCATTGCTCTCTAATTTCCTAAGGGATTTAAATTTAAAGCCAAGCTTGATTAAATTTTTAATAGTCTTCTTGGCATCAAGGGGAAAAATTTTTCACTCTTTCAACTTATATATGATAAATATTATCCTTGTATTTTTTAAATCAATATTTTTTCATATTTATTTTTTAGTTTTAGGTTGACACAATATCTTCATTTTATATTTATATGGTGCTGAGGATTGAAACCAGGGCCTCACGCATAATAGGTGAGCACTCTACCACTGAGCCACAACCCCAGCCCCTATCCTTATATTTTGAGACAACATTTTGCTGTTTTGTTACAGTTTGCATTCAGTTTTCTCTATATTCAAATTGATCTAAGGATTTTGCTTCTTCTCAGTATTCATTTATTGAAGGGGATTCATAGTTTTTTCTCATGAATTTATTTTTCTTAAATGTGGGTTGTCACCATATTCATAGAATTTCTAAATCATAAGTTTTTCTACTTAATGACGTGAAGAATTCCAATATCACTGAAGGCACTTGATTTTTAATGTTTGATAGGATTTATAGTTGAAGACTTCTGGGTAAATGCTCTTTTGGAGTGGAAGTTAGATTTTTCTGTTAGTTTAGGATAATGTAAGTATGACATTCTAAGACATATTCATTTATTAATTTATTTAAAGATGGGTTTGACTTCACTTTCCCTCTTCTAATCTCTTTCATCTCATTCTTGATCTTTGGTTTGTTATTCTCTTTTAATTTTTGGTGAGAAAAAAGTTAATATGGAGTTGGGTATGGTGCACATGCCTGTAATCCCAGTGACCCAGGAGGTTGAAACAGGAGGATTTCAAGCTCAAGGCCAGCCTCAGCAATTTAGTGAGATTGTATCTCAAAATATGAAATAAAAAGGGCTGGTGATAAGACTCAGTGTTTAAGAGCCCTGAGTTTCATACCCAATACAAACAAACAAAAAGAAAGCAAAACAAAACAACAACAACAACAACAACAGGAGTGGTAGACTAGGCCTGTAATCCCAGTAGTTTGTGAGGCCGAGGTAGGAGGATCACAAGTTCAAAGCCAGTCTCAGCAACTTAGTGAGGCCCTCAGCAACTTAGCAAGACCCTATCTCAAAATAAAATATAAAAAAGGGCTGGGAATGTGGCTGAGTGGTTAAGCGCCTCTCTATTCAATTCCCAGTACCAAAAAAAGAAAAAAGAAAAAAGAAAAAAACACTTTGATATGGAAATTTTTAGTTTATTCTGAGATATACTTTTTTTTTTCAGCCCCCAGCAAAAGAGTCATTATCTGTCTTTTGCATGAGGTCTTCCTCATCACATTTGGTAAGTTTATTTTGCACAATGGACATACTGCTTCTTTGCTGAGATTCTTCATTTTGATAGAGACATTGCTTATTGCTATTGGTTTTTCTCATTGGCTCAACTATAGCTTGGGGATGTTTCTCTTGCATGTGCTTATACTAATACTCTACTTGCTTTTGCATCTCTGCCAAGTGCAGTCTTGATCTGGATTAGGTGTTGGTTGCTTTGATTTTGTTTTTCCATTACTATTTTATCCTTTGTGATTTTGGACAGAGAGAGAGAAACTGTATATGGGGTTTGATTCTTCTGATTTGCTACTTTAATTCTTGTCATAACTGGATAGTTAAATGCCAGTTGTGTGTTTTTCTCCTTTCATGAATGAGGTGATTATGTGCAGGCGTGTGCATATATGCATGTATATGGGCATTGCCACACTTTTCTAAGGTGCCAGTAGAGATGGAAACTATAGCAGAATGTATTAGGGAGCAATTTGGACATATGCATCAATGTTTCACTTTAGATGCACATCATTTTGGACCAAGGAAACCCATTTTAAGAAATATGTCAGAAATCAAAGGTGTGGGAACATGTTAGCAACGGGAATGCTTCTTTTAGAGCTGTTTGTAATGTGGAATCCCTTAGAAACAAAGAAGACATCTAACAGTAAGTACTCACTTAATAAATGTTAATTAAATTGTGGTATTTACATTCAGTAAAATATAGCCATTAGAAATGATACATACTTAAATATATGAAAGGTAAAATGGAAAATTATAACAGATGATTTAAAAAAGAGCATCACCTAATGTGAATACAAAACAATGATATTATGGATTGTATCTGTCAGAGGGTAGAGATGGTCTTCACTGCCTTTTAAACATATTTTTAAGAATAATTATGAATTAGCTTCATAATCAGAAAAATAATAATAAAGCTTAAAAAATGAAAAGAAAAACCGAGAAAGATACACACTCTCTACCACCATCTTGATATGAATACCAACTATGGATAGAAGGCTCTGTGCCTGGTACTGTACAAGGTCCTTAACACAATTATCTCACTTAATCCTCGTAACAGCTCCATAAGGCAGAAATTAGTGTTTCAATTTTCAGCTGAGGAACTTGACAGGTTAAATATGCCCAATGTCACACAGCTCATAAAAGACGACGCCTGCATGTGAGCTCAGCTCAGCCTGACTGAAATCCACCAGGGTCCCAGTGCCCCTCAGAATCACCACCAACAACTTGCTGATTTGAAGATTCCGGGTTTGATCATAGAAAACTCATTATTTAAACTGCTGAATATTAATCCTTATTTCATACTCCAAATATGAACTTAAAAGAGGACTCAAAGAATAGAATACAGACGTATCTGAAAGAAAGAAGTTTAAAACCAGAAGACATAAACATTTATACTTTAGTGAAAATCATTGAATCTTCTCTTTAACTATTTTTGAGAAACAGAGAAAGAGAGCTTGAAAAACTAGGGGTTCTAAATAATTAGATCTTATTGTATCAACTTTTTCAAGCCATCAGGTAAACGATTTAATGTACTAAAGGAGCAAGTTTGCTTTAAGATATCCTCATGGTAGGAGGACATCCTGGTTTTTCCAGTGGCTTAACCCAGTCATTGGACCAATCACAAGCTGTGCTTTGATTTAAAAAAATACCCCATTCTTCAACCCTTTGCTTTTATCACAAATCCAAATTCTAAGTTTCATTCATGTTTTCTTCTAATTATTAGCATTCTACACAGAATACTTGTCCAATGAAATCAATCGACTTATTTCAACAAGACGCACTAACATTAAAAAGTAAGAACAGTGGCAACAACATAGTGATAACCAAGAGTTCAGACACAGTAGGTGCTAGAATGTTGAGGGGATTAAAACTAACATAGCAATTAACCTTTCAAACATCCCTGCTCTGGAAAGCTATCTCTCAGGAAATTTCATAACCAGTAACAAAAGTAACAAGTCACCCAATACCAAAATAAAGTAGTGATTTCATAGATTATCCATACCTGCCCCACCCCACCCAGCCCAAGGCGAAACAATGAGGCATCCAGGATTCTAACCCAAAGCAATAAAATTAAGGAAGAGTATGAAATAATGGAAGTCAAGTCCCGGCATCAAGTCCTTTTAGAAAACATTTAGAAACGTTCAATATTATTCACTGCCTCACCGAGAAATAGTAATTAATAAGATAAAAACAAAAACCCTGGAGTTGAATTAAGTGGATGATCAGGTAAGATAGTGCCAATGATCATCATCCCCCTGCTCTTCCTCCAGTTGGAAGAGCAATACGAATAACAATTTGCCAATTAAAATAGCAAACACACGAGGATTCCGAAGCTAAACTGTAAAGTATTGGCAAAAAAAAGAAAAATACACTATTTTTAAAATTCATTTAAATCATGATTTTTGACAAGCAATAATTTCAATTGGTGCCTCATATCCATCGTTATGATAGTGCTGAGCCTGCCAAGATAATACATATTCATAAAATAAATCATAAAGCAACAAGGACTTGATGCAAGTATAACATCCTTAGACACAAATTAATAATCTAGGATAGAAAGTACAGGTTCCTGAATTCTGAGCCAACCAATAGAATGTTGGAAACGTTTCATTTCCTACTTACTCAACTAACCAGGAAAAAACAAAACAAAACAAAACAAAAACAAAAAACAACCAACAACAAAACCAAGAAATGCCATCAAATGTTCTATACTCTATTATTTTAAGAAAAATGCAAAGGGATCTCAAAACAAGAGCCAATTGCTTTCTTTCTCTAGCTTAACAGCAGTTCCTCATTGGAACACTGAGGCTTAGGTCCACCATAGCCATATTGAAAAAAACAAACCCGAGAAAACCCCATTAAGGTCTCATGAAAACCTGAACTTATCCCGAAATCTCTATGGATGCATGTCTATAAGTTATCTGCAAAGATCTCAAACATTACTTTAAAGGGAACAGCTAAGCAAATTGGTCCCAACAGAAATACAAATAAATGGATTAAAAACTGGCTATCTAACCGTATACAGAGAGAAATCGTAATTGGTAGTCCGTCTAGTTGGGGAGAGGTTTCCAGTGGGGTCCCACAAGGATCGATATTGGGTCCCATTTTGTTTAATATCTTTATAAAAAATCTGGAAGACAAAGTAGAGAATGTGCTAATTAAGTCGACTGATGTCAGTAGTTTGGGATGGGTTGTTAAAGTAAATTGGATATAGATAAATGCTACTGGTCTCTAGAAAGCATAAAGATAGAGCAATGCTAGCAGAGCATGGAAATGCCAATTATTTGGGTTTAAAAAATGTATTTTTAAAAAATTAATTACAAGCAGTAGAAATAGATTAAAGAAATCTTAGCGGCTTTGCATTACAAAAGATTAGGCACAATGGGAAAAGACAATACAGAGATTCACAACAACCATGAATGTAGAATAAAGAACACCTTCAAATGAAGATCTTTTGGGGCATCTCTATTGTGATGCTTATGAATATGATTATTTTTCTGATTTCATTTTTGGTGTATATGAAAATTATATATTTTCAAATGTTCATCTTTTATGTATTACTTTATTGAATTTAAAATTTCTACAAGACTTCTATAAATTTCAGCATAAAATTATTTATATACTTGAAAAAAAAAGAAAACTGGGGTTTGTGGGTTTCTCAATGCAGTAAAGATTCTGGAGGCATTTCAAATATGTAATAAGTACAGTGGCTAAAAGGCAAGACTAACTAACTTTTCAAACATGCATATACTTAGTAATTGGCAGAAACATAAACCAGGAGAAAACATAAGACTTTAAGAAAAAATAAAGGAGAGTTGAAAACTTGAAGGCCTGATCAAAAACAGGGAGGAAAATTAATCAAAAGCAAATTCTATCAGGAAACACTCAGTAGTGCACACATATACACAAGAATTCAAGGGACAACAGAAAGGACTCTCCTGACACTAGCAGGGAGATTGGATTTTTTTAAAATTTATTTTTACTCTTATTTTGGAGGGTATTATATTTTCTGAACTGTGGAGGACACTTGGGAAAACTACTTCATAGACTTCATGTTGGTGTGAAGATTGCTTAAAAAGTCTTGATATTTCCCACCGTCATTTGTCACATGAAGGCAACTGTGAAAGTGACACTTGCTTATGGATTTCTATGTGCAGAGAGTTTTTCTTTTCTTTCTTTTTTTTTGTGAAGTCAATTGAGTTGAATATATGAACTGATGTGGAACGACCTTTTCAATGTAACTTTATTTTTTTTCATTTGTTAGCACTGTGGAATATACACTGAATATGGCTGGGAAAACCCAAAGCGCATCTCAGAAGTGTTTACTTCGCTATGCAACCTGGGCTGTTGCATTTTCTTTAAGGGTTTTAGTTTTTGCATCACTTAAATGACAGGATAGTAATTTAGAAGCCACAAACTTCCTTATTCAAACAAAAAGTTAAGAGAAACTAACACAGAAATGGGAAAAGTATGGAAGAATCTGCTCAAGGAACAATGGGTTCCCAGCAGGGCTGGCTTCCCATTTTGATCCACCCCTGATCTCAGGGCAGAGCAGTATAACAGTAAGTTTAGGTGATTGGACACACTACTTTCAACTCTAGGAAACTACCAAAGGTGAAAAATTCAATCCCTCTCCTAGTGACTGATTTTTTTTTCCCCAGAGTATAAAATATTTAGTTGATGATATGTGCCTGATCTTTGAAAAAAGACAATGAAAAGAAGGGACATGGAAAACTACCCCATTCACAACGCTCTACAAGAAATAGTAGCATTATTGCTGACACCAACACAAATGAAAGCATTGGACATCAGAACCCAGTGTGGTTTTTCATGCTGGGTTGAAAATGAAACCACGGGGACCTGTAATATTAGATGCAACTTTTTTTTGTTTTAATCTCATCTAGATGTATTCCATTCTATTCAATAAAGCTTGACATAGTGGGTTTGTTATAAACTTTAGAGTGAACACTCATTGAAAAGTGATTTCCTTGCTTTAACTTTAAAATTTCTGCCATACAACATTCCTTTCCAGGTCATATTCTCCTTAAGGGTTGTGACTGCCCCCTACATGTGACTGCTAGACCACATAAAACACACAAGCAAGCATCGTCCATAAGTGTGGAAACTATAAATTTTATTTTAAAAGTAACAATGCCTGACAATAATAGTTTATTAATATTTACGACTAGCAGAGTCCTTACCTCGTATGGAGGTCACTTCTATTAAAGAATTTTAAGAATAACACAAACATATTGTTCTTTTCTGGCCTCAGTTTCTCATGTTTGAGACTGAGGAGCAGATGCTCTGAGCTGGACAGGTCTTTGCTACAGAAAGCTGTCCTCTGCACTAGCGGGTGGATAGTAGCATCCCTGACCTCATCACGCTGGACACCAGTAGCAATGCCCTTCTCACAGTTTGACATCCAAAAATATCCTCTGACATTGTCAAGAATTCTCTGGGAGACAAAATCGCCCCTGTCTGTGAAACACTGAAAAAGGAGGATTTTAGATATCTTTCTTATTCTCTTGTATTTTATCACCTCAGTTGTGGATCTATCTGCAGCCCAGAGGGTGGGCTTTTCAACCTGGTGAGGTACCTGATAAGTGAAGCTTTCTCTACTCCAGCTCAGTACAATTGAGTGTAAAACACCTAAAGCTTTCCAGATTCTGTTCATATAAAATATCCACCATCTAGATCTTAAATTTATCATTTAAATGCAAATCAGTATGAAAAATAGGGTAGATGAAAGTGAGAGAGCTCAGATGCTATCTTATGAAGTCAGCCTTGCATTAGGCAATTGATTTAAACTCATCTTAAGCTGCAGTCCTCTGAGATAGTGCTATTTATTCATTCTCTTTCCTTTACTAAGACTATAATATTAGGTAAATCATGAAATGGATGTTAGAAGTACTCTGACATTTGACAGCCCAAGAAAGCCATGAGTGTAGGTTGGAATCTACCAACCAAAAGACTCCATTCAGTGAAACCCTGGGCATTGGTAAGAAATTAATAATTTCCTTGGCCCCATGGCTCATTGGCTTTCAAAGCCTATGTTTATTATTTGCATCATTATTAACATCATGTTCTGAGAAAGAAGTGCCTTTGGTTAGAGAATAGTCTAAAATCAAATAACCGACCTATGGGTATGTGGGAAACATAAGTTTCCACAAGGTTTACTCAAATAAATCCCAATGGTAGAGATTATTTATATGTTCTATCCTGAAATTAATCTGAAGCTAGATAAAATTAAAATATCAATTAAATAATCAATTATTATTATTATACAGAATAACTCCATATGGTTTAAAGATTTTGTTGCTTTCTTTGTCCTATTACCATTTTATTGAACTCAATATTACACATTATTTGCTAAACACTACTTCAAGCAGATACTAAGCCAAGACCTTGTTTTCATTATCTATTTCAAAGGATCTAAATTTGGACTATTGGGAAATGCATACACAATTATACAGTCTAGTGCAGAAAGTTCTATAACAGGAAGCCAGGTAAAGTTCCATTCTGGGATTAATGTGGATTAACTCCATTGGGACTCTTGACAGAAGCCTCAAAGTGGTGATTTCTCAACTTGGCTGCAAATCAGAATTCCTGAGGAAACTAAAGAGTATGCAATCAAGGCATACCCCAAGATACTCAAATGAGAATTCTGGGGGAAGGGATCCTGCCTTCAGTATTCTTTTTAATCCTCTACACATCATTCCATTTGGCAGCTAAGGTTGAAAATGATTGTTCTAAAGAAAAAACAGTGTTTACTATCATGCAGGAAGTTTTTCACTATGCCTGACATAAACAAGATGGTGGCCTCATATGTCAACTGCTTCAATGATAAGGGTGTATGTGCAAGGTGTGCAGTAATCCTGTGATCCCGTGTCACTAAATGAAAAAATCTATTCCTCTTTTTTTTTTTCCTTCCACACTTGTCTGATGACCTAAGGGGGAAGTCTCAATTTGTTGCTGGGGGTCTTAACACATCTTTAGAATTGTTTATTATACTTTTAAGTTTAAGAGAATAAATATTTTAGGTCCAAAGTCCTGTTATTTATTTTTATTTATTTTAAAAAATCCTCCAGAAAGTAATAATAATTTGAGTGACATAAAGTATAAAAATTTAAGGTGAATAAATTAAAGAAATGTAAATAAAATAGACAATATACTTATGCCTGGGGAAAAAGTCACATAGGTGGTTCTCAGACAAAGTTTTGGGAAAACCTACAGTTCATGGAAAGGGCATCACTCAAAGCTTGGGTGATGAGTTTGGGCCATAATTGTGCCTTTCTCACTAAATATATTTGTAATTTTGGGAAAATTATCTATTCTCTCCCTGGTGCTTTGGTTTCCTCCTGTTTTGAGGAAGGCCAGAAGCCTATACTAGTAGCTTTCCTCTATGCACTTAAGAAGCAAGAGGGCTTGCCCTCTGAATTTACCTTGTTGACATCCAGGCGCATCTTCTCATTGTTGGCACTAGCAGCCTTCTCTGCTGCTTTCTTTTGGCGTTGGGGTCCTCTCCCAAAGAAAATGTAGTTGACCAAAGCATATTCCAGAAGGGCCATGAAAACGAAGACAAAGCACCCCATTAGGTACATGTCAATGGCCTTCACATAAGGGATTTTGGGGAGAGTTTCCCGGAGGTGAGTGTTGATTGTGGTCATTGTTAGTACAGTTGTAATTCCTGAAAAAAAAAAGGAAAAAGAAAAATGTTAGAATAATGATGTTCCCATTTCCTTTTTGCTCTTACAATCACTGGAAAGGTTGATTTTACTCATTTATATAAACCACAACATATTTACTGGGCACTTATTATATATCAGCTCTGTGATAGGCCCTGGGGATGTACATAAATTAGCTTATGGTGAACATTAATCACTTTGGGAGATTTCTTTTCATTATATTTTTAAATTTATACTTATAACTAGTGAATTAAATGTTATTATAACCGTATGCATAAAATGATTATATGGGGAAGACTCTAGTTCAGTTCCATGAGGTAGTGGGGAGGAGAATAGGAAATGGATATGTCTGAGCAGGTTTCTGAAGACTGAGTGATCATTACCCTGGTGAACAAGGCCTGGAGGTCAATATTTAAGGAATACATCAGGGTACTGGGGTGGAGAAAACTTGATATAAAAGGTTGGGTTTGTAAGAAAAATTATGGGTGCATTATTAAGCAGGATGAATTGAATTGTGAGAAGAGGGGAGATTCAAGAAAGGGCTGCAAGATGGGGAGCCCAAGAAGACGTTTAAATTAAAGGCAATGTGAAGCACTGGCCAGCACTGGCCTTCAAGCAGGAAACTTATAGACAACTGAATTTAGGACAGTCACTCTGGTAGCAGTGTGTTGTGTGGGAGACACAGGCAAGACAATAAAGGACACCAGTTCAGAGGCTTCTGGAAAAATCCACTTAAATGACAGAGGGGAAGTAAGATAATAGCAATGATTCTGAAATCAATGGACGCATTATACAGATGGCATTAAATGAACCACTGTCAACATTTCAGAAACTGGAAGTGGAGGGTAGCAGAGAAACAGGAGTCAGTTCTCATGGTTTAGGGTTGGACAATCAGGCACAATGCCCACATAAACAGCTCAGAAGTATTATAAGAGTCCTATGGGAAATGCCACTCTGGGTTAGACTCTAACTGCTCATCCAGTAGGGTGGACAGTTCTGGCTGTCGCAAGTAGTTTTCCTCGAAGTTGTAATTGGAAGGTAAAGAGCACAGGAGTCCAGAGTTCTGAGCACGATAAATTCCAACCTTGTTGCCAAACAGTGATGTGAAAATAGACAAAGCTCAGAGGTCAAGATCACACAGATGGGAAGTCGTACCATGACTGTTTAAAACAGCGTATTTTTAACTGTTCCTTTTAACACTTTCCAACAGCATATCTCAAAGGCTAAATTTTATTTCTATGACTTTTTGAGGACATAGTTTTCTGATTCGATTTTTATCTAGCAATAACATCATACTTTTTATTTTGCTTCTGTAGATTTTCATGAAAAACTACAGAAAATATAGATTTGAGCCTTGGTTTTGCTTTATGTTAATTGAAGCATCTTAACGGTTCTCCTCTCTTTTCTTTATTAATCATTTTTGTTCTCTTCTTCATTTCAACTATAGACTACCCTGCTCCACATGATGAGACAATGTTGATTTGACTAAGTCTGATTTTGAGGTATTTCTGAAAATAATAGCAAATTGCTCACCTAAAAAGATGTTTCAAAAATCTCCTTTAAAAAGTAAATAATTATTTCTTGATTCTATAACACACACACAAAGTAGATAACAGATTTTAACTTTAGCAAAATAGGATATTCTCAAACTGTATGCATTCCTTTATTCAGGGAAAATTACTGAGCACCATTCCCCAGGCAGGACACTGTGGATACAATACCAGATTTGGATCTTCCCCTGGGGATCCTTCAGTACTGTGGGAGGAAAATTCATCGCATAATGAAAGTTATACCTATGGCTAGTCTTCATAGGGCAGCTCTACAGGATTTTAAGAGTATATATCACAGGCCTTGCCTCAGTCCCAGAGGTCATTTCTTCTACTCCCTTCCATCCTTGGGCCATCACAATCTAACCTGAACATCAGCCAACGTGAACCCCTTTCCAACTGAAATCAAATCTTGTCACTTTTTGCTCAATGGCAATGTCTGTCTGTACCATACTCTATAAAAACCTTCATGAGCTTTCATTCCTCCATCCCCAGTATCATCTTTACTCCGCCCCTTGAGCTTACTCTATCCTGGCCTCAGGAGATTCTTACGAACCTATTTTGATGGTTCCTGCCGCAGGGTACTAGCAGTAGCTGGGAATATCATCACCAACTGAGCTACTTGGGTCTTCATCTTGAACTCTTGTGTTTTATGGACAACTTCTGCCCTGAGATCAGCCTTGATTTTCCTAAACTGTTCTCTGTTGTATACTCAAGCCCTCTTACCTGGTTGATTTCCCTCTATAGATTTACCCTATACTATAATATGCATGGTTATTCAATTTGTTGTCTATCTTTTACTACCTGAGTAAACCTTCCAGAAGAGGACTGCTGTATCCACTGCACCGTCTGGTTAGACCATATCAGGAATTCAACAGATATTTTTTTGAATGAATAATGAATGACTTTCTAAGAAAGCCATAATGGAATTTGAGATCTCGTGGTGAAGAAGTCAACAATTCAATATTTTAAGGGGAATAGTCAGAACTGAAAATAATGAAGATTGTACAGAAGGTCATAAATTTACTTTACCCAGAGTTAATAACAAAAATGTTTAAGAAATATAATTTAGTATCCTCCTCCTGTTGTTAGAAGAGAAAAAAAAATATGATAATCCATGCCACAGATGATTTCCCAGTGTTCTTATTCTGCTGTCTCTGTCCTCTGTATGCTGCTCAAAACCATTAATAAAACTGTAGAATCCTTTTTGCTTATCCATCTACTACATATTGCATATCCTTGTCTCATGAAAAAAAGTTGGAAAGGAGCTCTTCTCAGGTATAGAAGCATAGAATGGATGCAAAGTGAACAATTATGCAAGCAATATTACATGAAATATGTTTCAATAAAAATATGAAACCAATGAATCTAATTTCATTACCAATAGCTATATAGTTAACTAATTTTGACACGGAGGAAGAGCTTTAATTCATGTTTAATTGATTTAATGGTGAATCAGATCACCCAAAGTCTGAAGGCTAAACTCTTGTAATGGGCAAGGTCCAGTCCTGTCAGGCATTACAAATCCCTGGGTAGGAAACTGCACGCATGTGCAGACATGCAGGCACAGAGTAAAACCCCACATGCAGTTGGAAAATGGCTTACCTAAAGCCACTCTGGCAGCTGAAGCATCATAATTAATCCAGAAAGAGACCCAGGAGAGGATTGTAATCAAGATGGAAGGCATGTATGTTTGCAGGATGAAGTAGCCAATATTTCTCTTAAGCTTAAAGCTGAGGGACAATCTGGGATAGGACCCTAGAAAGGCAATTTCAGAATGTTATCATTATTAATTAATAACTACACAATGCTTTCCATTAAAATCCATAAACATTTTGACATATTCCCTAAATTCAATTCTAGCTCTTGGTTTAGGAACTTGTTTTTTCCCTCCAGCAAAAATAGTCTGAGAGCACTGGGGTTTATTAAAATTATTAGAGCTACTCAGTGGCAGAAGCTACTCAGTGTGGAGTACATCCAGTATTCACCAGTGATTAAAAAGGATTCCTGCTTTTCCCTGCTCAGCGCCATACACTGCAGGAACAGAGACTGATTCTCTGCCATTGTGATGACAAGACTATTTGGGAGAACCTTTTGTTGCCTTTCTTAATCGTCCCCCAGCAAGTTCACCCTACAGCTTTTCTCTTACATAAGAAGAAAACTGCATGCTCTGATCATAGAAAATAAAAATCCCTTCTGTGTAGATTTTCACGTGCATGCATCCTTTATTAGTTCTTAACAATTTCAATGCCCCCTGATCCACAGGATGGTGAAGAATCATTGCTTTTGAGCAACATTTTTGGGGAAAACAACTAACAGTATAGGTTACTAAGTCTGCGTTTTTGGTTGTAGTGATCTAGGGCATTACTCTTTGGATGAGAGTCACGGGACAGCACATTCTTACAATATAAAAAGTTCATGTTAATGCACTGCATGGGAGATGCTTCCACTATTTGAGAGAAGCTTTATTTAGTCTTCTTGGGCTAACATGCCTTAATATGAAAGTAAGGATATTTGAAGCAGCAACTCCTTCCCAAAGAGCTTTAGGGGTTGAAAGATTCTATCCTTTGGAAAAGTTTTCAGTTTGTTTTCTTTCCTTTATGTTTTGGTCTGTTTAGCGATTTGGAGGACATCCCACTTTGGAAATAGTGTTTTTTAAGCTAGAGGCAACTTGGTATATTGACCAAGTCACACAGCTCTTGCTTTAAATGGTTTTTGGTTTATAGGGACAAGAAGTATCTGAATTCTTAGCAGAAAGGTGATTCTATATTTACTGTTACAGTATTAGCCACTACTGTGCTAATGGGGTTCACTTCAATGGAAAAATACATAAAGTGAAGCATTCTTGTAAGATTTCAATTTCTTTTGCTACTAAATTAATATCTAGCAAATAATTGTTTTCCTGGTTTTTTTTTTGTTTTAAAAAAATGTAAAAAATTATGTTGATGACATCAAGTCTGGCAATCTCCAGTCTCAGGGTTGAAAGGGCCAAGATGGCAAAGACAGTAGGATGATGTCAACGTCTGGAAGGGGCAGAATGGTGAAGATCATAAAACTCTTATCCTCTGCCCTGAGGACTTCCACTGCGTCATTCTAGGCCCCAGGATGATCATAAGTTCTCAGGAATGCATCGAGCTGGGACCTCTCTGACTCAGGTCTTCAACTCTTCTGTATCCCGTTTCTAAAATCTTAGTCCCTTCTCTAGCATGAGGCACATGCAGATGACCCTCTGAGCTTTGCTGGGGCACCTTCTGGAGAGGAGCTGCCTGGGTTCTATATGGAGCTGTAGGCTCTATGGGGAGCAGCGTTTTCAGCAGAGCCAAATCCTTCAGAGTCATGATCCTTCCTGGGACAGGACCTCAGTGAAAGTGAAGCCTTTTGACAAACTATGATGAAGATTCATTTCCCTGATACGAACCTGTGGAGAAAACAACCTTCTTGGTGATAAGTTTGTAGTCTACGATGGAGAACTGCGGGAGCTCAATCTTGGTTACTCCTGTCACGGCATTGTCATCCCCACGCCAGTAAAACTCAATGTCATCAGTGGTATATCCATCTGTAAAAGGAAACACACACCAAAAAAGAAAAGAAAAAGAACATCTGTTTAGAAAAGCAACTTTAAAAGCTACACCTAAAGGTCATAATGTGTCAAATACCATAGTCAGCATGTAGAGTCTACTACCACATTAAAACCCCCTACAGAGATCCCACAGGGAAATATGAATAGACCCTCATGGGAAAACACAGGTGTAGAGAAATTAACTACTCACAGCCTCTTGCAACTGGGATGTGCAGATGGGGCTTGAAACTAGGTTTATCTGGTTATAAACCTCACTTTAGGAAACGCTTTCCTATCACGTTACCACATAACTCTAAATTGCACTCAAAGAGGACAGAAGAGGAGAAAACTCATTAAAATGATCAGTTCAGTACTGAAAGCTACCAAACACTCCCCAATAATATAAAATATCTGAATTACAATATATTTGGCTTTCATGTCAGAAGAGGAATGATTATGAAGAAGTGGGTAATCAATTTTTCAATATTCACATACATGATCTCTAAATTTGATTTTATAACACATCCAATTAAAAACATCCCCAAATCAATATAACACTAATTCCAATAGTTCTGAGGAGCAGCATACATGCTATGTACACAGTTATTTATCAGATACCTATGGTGTTCATCAGTGCAGTCTCTGGGGAAAGGAGTGTGTATAACAAAGACCTCTTCTTTGTTCCAATGACATTTTCAAGCCATGAGTCTGAGTACAATTTCAACAAATAAGCATAGATATCAATAACTAATACTCAAACATCTAACTGTAATGAATAGCCCACACTGGACCACAATCAGTGTGATACATGGAAGTATGCAATGGAGTCCAGTGTATATTAATGACATTTTACAAACTTATTCACCCCTTCAAAAAATCTCCCCAACAAAATGCATACATTTGCATATATTAAATTTAAAGTGATACCATATTTATCTCTTCAAAGAACTTTTGCATCTGGATTGTTTACAAGTCTAAGAGGCAGGCAAGTCTAAGAGACACGCACAAACAAATCATAAAGATTGTGTAAGTTCTGGGGTTGTGGCTCAGTGACAGAGTGCTTGCCTTAAATGTGTGAGGTACTCGGTTTGATCCTCAGTACCAACCACATAAAAATAATAAAATAAAGGTATATGCCCATCTACCAATAAAAAAAAGATCATGTAAGTTATTTGTCCCTTGACATGTGACTGCCCCAAAGGATAAGTGGACTTTTTCTAAGGTTTCAATTTTCCTCATATGGACACATATACCATGGATCTAGAACAATATCTCAAATGCAATCTAATTTCTCATTGGTTCTTTATACAGATCTCTGTTATAAACTAGTTCAGTAATAGTGATAATTCTACCACCAATAAACAATTTAGAATAACAGAAAAAAATGTCAATAGCTCCTAGAATCAAACTAGGTAGTTAGAAGAGCATCCTAACATTGAAAGTATAATGTCTAAACATAAAAAGGGGTATCTTTGAAATAGGAAGATAATCATCTCCCTTGAAAGCAGCACTCAGATTCTCCTTAACTTCTATGATAAACATATAGATGTTATTAAATCCCAACCACCACTGACTGATTCAGTTCACAGGCTTCAAGAGCCATAAACCCATCCTGTTCATAGAGAGTTCAAGTACAAAACCCAGGACCCTGGGCTCATCATTTCATGTTCCTGAAAATTCATCAGAGATTCCTAGTGAGTTAGCCAGCCATTGGCCTAGGGCCTGACTGTTTAGAATAAGCAGATAATTCTATTGTAGTTGGCATGTAAAAACATTGAGAACCACTTGTCTAGCAGATAAAGAGGAAGATAATGAAAAGAATTAAAATAATAGCAAATGAACTTATTGAACACTGCCATAGATATTACTGGGAACTCTGCTAAAAAAACCCCCAAAAACTTTACTTTCACTATTTCATTTAATCTTCACAATAATCATTCCACAGGGAGCAGTACTTATATGCATTACAACTATTAGACACCCATAATTAGTTAAAATTACACATCTGGGGCTGGGGCTGTAGCTTAGTGGCAGAGCACTTGCCTAGTATATGTGAGGCACTGCGTTTGATCCTTAGCATGATATAAAAATAAAGAAATAAAATAAAGGCATTCAGTCCATCTACAACTACAAAAAAGTTTTTTTATTTTTTTAAACAATGACACATCTGATGAGTCAAGAACTGTTGTCATGTAAATGTGACTGACCCAAAGAAAGAATTTTCCTACTGCATCTCCTCTAGGAAATACCAAACATGTGTACAAGAAAGTAATTATCCATTTTTATACAAATAAAATGCAGCCATCTTCAAAGAAAGAGAATAAGAAAAGGGTCACCTCAATATTTCCCATAATGGACCAAGTCTAAGCTTAGGAGGAGGATTTTTAATTCTCCAGATTCCTCTCCTCCTTACCTTCCTCAGTATTTACCTTCTTGTGTCCATTACTATAAATCCTATCACAGAAACTATCTGCAGGTAGAAGAATGAGAATATCTATGCCAATCCAACTCAGTGGTATAGGAGATACACCACATGCAGAAACTTTACCAAGAATAATACGCTTTTGTCAAAATGCCAGATGTTTGACAGTGTTTGCTAGTTAAAATGTGGTAGGGAGCAGGTACTAAGTAAATGTTATGGAATGGATAAAATGATAATCTTATACAGATGTGAACTTGGGTGGGTGGTTGTTTCTGTTGAAGCATTATCCAGATGTTCATCCACTGTGAAGAGATGCAAGCTGTTCACATTTCTGTTCCCTGCTCTTAGCATGGTCCCTGGCACAGAGTTGGCACTAAATAAAGATTGTTAAAATTAATTTGAAGAATGTAATAAGAACCTTTAAGAAGAATCCAGAGGTTCTTTATTTTATGTTTCTCTATATGACAGTTTTGCCTAAATTACGTTACTTTTTTGTTTCCTATTTTCTCATCTACAAATTGGGACAATAATAATGGCTGCTTCAAAGAGTTTCATGTAGGTGAAAATTATATGTTTAAAAAGGTACTTGTCATATAATTATTATTATAAATTTTAGCTGACAGTATTTTAATAAGAATTATAAAAAATGAGCATCTAGTTGCATACCATTTTGACACCAGTTCTGCACATTATAAGCATTTTCAAAAGGAGAAGCTTAGCTGTTTGACCACATTATGCAACTCTAGGAAAGTGCTTGGACACTGATATAATAAGAAATATGAAGGTTATTTTGATGTCTAAGGTTTTAGAATTCAACACAATGAAGCAGCATATTGTATACCCTTCTTATAAGCTACTGCAAAAGCAAAATCACCTGAAATCATTTTGCTTAGCTGAATATGAAGTGTTCTGGGTGGAAAGCAACTGGGTTCTTTTACATCATCCATTTCTGAAGACAAAAAGTGAATGATCCATGACACAGCCACGGTGGGTCAAGTTCAAAATCCAGTTCAGTGAACTGCATAGGATTAGCTTAAAGTGGACCTAGTTTTCTTCTTATTTTCAGTCTTCTCTGGAGGAATATTTAACAGCCTTTCAAAGTGATTAAAATGAAAAGAAAACATATGCAAATATATATGACCTAACTTTTACAGCTCTCATAATGAGTGAAAAATAATTGGATTCTTTTAAAAAGATATCAGTAGGAGATGCACGAAAGCCTTTCATTTATGTATTGCAAATCAAACCTATCTTTTATATTTTATTCATGGAATTCCAGAAGCTGAGTCATTCAATTATTTTATAACATTAGCATAAAAAATGTAACCCACATAATAAATTCAGATGGTCTATGAATAAACTAAAATATAAATTCATTGTCATTTACCATGAGGAATTAAAGTTATATGACATGCTAAAGCCTCTGATCAAGAAGGAAAAAAACACACATTTATAAGTTTATAAAAAAAATGAATGATAGATACATTCTCTTTTAAATACCGATAAAAACACATACTCCACAAGATCTAAGGAACAGAAATGCCATTTTAAACACATCCACAAAATAACTGAATACATTCTTACAATTGTGACATTATTTTATTGTATAACATGATATGTTAAAAAAGATTTTCTGTCTCTGCTGTCAGTGTACATGCATATTTGTTATTTATTAAGTAAATATTTTGTTTCAGAATAATTTATCATGCCAAAAGTCAAAGCTGTACCAAGATGTTAAATTATAGGCAGCTATGAGAACACTGGAAAGAAGTAAATTCCCAAATGCCTCCATTTATGTTTTCCTAGTGGAAAACCAAAAAAGTGAGTTATGGTTTTTAATCATTACTTATTTAATATTTTGCTCCTTGATTGGGTTAGTAAATGTATTAGGGCAATTATATATATGGGACTTCCCATTGCATCCAACAAAATCACAGTCACTTCTCAGTGGTTTTAACCTGTGGATTCTGTCATCATACCCTGTTGGGAATGAGTGAGAATTTAGAGTCAGTGTTATGTCAGTTCACATTAGATACAGGTGGTTTTGAGTTTTTAAGAATCATCTCAAGAAACGTCTTACCTCAGATATTCTTCCCTTTATGTGACCACCACAACACTTTATATACTTTCTGAATCAAATGCTTCAATGTTAAAAAGATTAGCATGCAACTGCCTATCAGTATTTAAAAATTTCACGTGGTTCCTATTATTAGTCTGAAAGGAACTATTGGTAAGTCTTGATTTATGTTCTAAGAGTCATTAATCCTATAATGTGTTTCATGGAAAAAGGATTCCACCATCAAAATATTTGAGAGTAACAGCACGTTTGGGCCACTTGTTATGTAAAGTCACAAAACATTAAACACAACAAAGAATAGAAGATTTTGCAATAAAGAATCCATTTAATTCTATTTAGCCATGTCATAACCCAAATCTATTTTACAAGATAATTTTTAGCATATAAAAACACCCACCCAGGTGTAATCATTCCTTACACACTGGACAAATAATGAAGATTTTTAGGGACCTTAAATACAATCCTTTTAAGTAATGACCCCTACAGTGAGGTAAACAC